TTGACCCCTCACCGCGATTTTCACGTTCCTATTTTGACCCCTCAATGGGGTCTTCCACTGCCATTTTCACGTTCCTATTTTGACCCCTCAAGAGGCTGTCTCTTATACACATCTAGATGTGTATAAGAGACAGCCCCCAAACCCCCCCAAAACTTTTTTTTTTTTTCGTTTTTGTTTTTACCTTGGGGGGTAGCCCCCAATATGCACCCCCCCCCCACCCCCTCCTCACATGTCATAACCTTCCCCGGGATGGCCGACGAAACGGCTCGTACGGCCCGTACAACCGTCTCGAGGGCCATACGTACGGCCGTATGGGCCGTATGAACGCCCCGTATTCGTACAGGGAGATACACAGGCTGGGGGTATACCCCTGCTGCAGTCTGTTTTCATTCATTCTTCATTCTGCACATTTTGGAGTACGTGTGTGTTGAGTCTGCGTCGGAGCTGCGCTGTCCATTCCAGCTCCAGCTCCATCTCCTCTGTCCTCACCCCTTCGTCTTCGTCCTGACGGACCGCCATCCCGGCGGGTCCACCACAGTGGCCAACCAATGGTTATCCTGACAGGGTGGGGCCACCTCCCAACCAATCCTCACGTCAATTATCAGTAGTCCTAGCGCACCCCCTCTCCCTACTATCCTACCTCAGTGTGACCAGCACTCAGGAACATCACCCTACCAGTATAGAGGGCAACTTGGACCGAATAGCAGTGACAAGCACCAGGGCTGGGCAGTACCTACTACCCAGGCCCAGTGGAAGCCGAAGCGGATGATTCTGGGACGAACCTTGAATTGGGATGCCAGGCTCATGCAATCTTCTACAGGCCCCAGTAGTCAGAGAGTCTACCCGATAAGCTGGCACAAGCACCTAGGCAAGGCAAGCTGGCTCCCACGGACACATCCTACCATCCTTCCCCTAACTTACCCAAGACTAGTCGGAGCGACCTATATCCCTACCCTGCCCTAGAGTCAAGCCATGCAAGAGCAGACTCCCCCTGATAGACCCCCCCAGGCTAGGTAGTATTTTTGTACACAGCCTTGGACCCTATGCGCCCTTAATCTGTTGCCAAAGAATAGACAGCCCTCCTCCAGACCCCGGTCAACAGCTAGGCTCCTCCCCCCACAAAGGCACCCATGCCTGCTTCATCTATCCTCAGTAGCAGACTGTCTCCCACCTGCCAGCAGATTCCGGTCATCAGCTAAACCTAGGTTCCTCCTAAAGTGCTCCGAAGGGACAGACTACAGACTCAGTAGGTGGTGGACCACCATTCGTCCTTCCACTATCCCGCAGCCTATCCCTCCATATATATATATATATATGGTGGATTATCACTTACAGTGTAATCGGTTAGGGGATTCTGCAAACAATGTTCTATGGTTGTAGATACTATTGTATGGTTGTAGGTGCCGGTTGGCCTCTTTTTTTTTTTTAACTAAAGGAAATCAGGACTTTTTTACGAAAAACCATAGATAACTGCTACAAAAAACCATCTGCCTATGGTTAACCCTGAAATCAGAAAAGCCAAGGGTCAAAATTTAACCCGCCTGCTATCCAAACCTCCCGCCCTCAACAGACAAGACGGCGAAGACTCCGGTGCCCGTTGGCTTCTCTAAGTTCTCTTTTCTTTATCGAGGGATAACTTGCTTGCACTAGTTCTTTCCGTTAACTTTGTTTTTTACCCCCACCCCAACCCACCTCCGCCGTACTGACAAAATCCGGAAGAAAAGAATATAAGCCGTCCTGACGGCCATTTTTTTTTATTTTTTTTTTGATCGGAGGTTTCTTGTTTGTCCGAGTCTCCCGATGACGTCAGTTTCACCAACCGCCTTCCCCTTCGCTCTCTTGCATCAAGAGGACATATCAATTCTAAATAAGTCCGGATACGTGCCCATGATGCCCGTATGTCCGCCTCCGTGCGAGCGTGCGCCCTCTCTCACGCAATCCCTTTCACAATAGATGTACTGTTTGGAAGAACCGAGGGAGGTGGGAAGGGCGTGGTCCTCAGCCTCCTCTCCAATCTCTCTCTCTCTCTCTCTCTCTCTCTCTCTCTCTCTCTCTCTCTCTCTCTCTCTCTCTCTCTCTCTCA